GGGGGGGTAGTGGAGTGCAGAGCTTTGTGACCACAGAGCGTGTGAACGTTGTGATCAGCTGTTTTAGCGCAGTGCTGCTGTACAGACCGACGTTAACAGCAGCCCTGTCTGTGTACGCGGAAACCGTTGATCTAACCGCCTTCTGTAAAAGCTTCACAAGTACGTCGGTACGCAAATGTGCCTTGTGACACAAGTGACGGTACGCATTTCAGATTTGTGCCGCGCATGCGTACCACTTATGTGCACCCCTGATTATAACGTATTGTAACGTATCGTATTATAATGTATTGTATTGCATCGTAACGTATTGTAACGTATCGTATTATAACGTATTGTAACGTATCGTATTATAACGTATTTTATCGTATTAGAACGTATTGTATTGCATCGTAATATATCTTAATGTATCCTATCGTTTGGACGAAACTAAATCATTAGTATATTGAAAGTTGTTTCAGTGCAGAGGAATACATACCTTTACAACTATTTTACCAAATTAACAAAGTACAATCTAACAAAGGAAATGAAAAGCCTCATTAGTCAGTGTTCACTCTATGCTTGAAGCATTGTATGTTTGTGTTAAATCAAATACCTGTCACAGTAACAACTCTAAAGCCTCGAGCTAAAACCCAAAGCACCCCCCGCTGCTAGGTGGTCAACGAGAGGAGGAAATTATTGTGGTCACACCGGGTGAAAAGCTTCAAGCATTCAAGATCACTAATAGCATTCTTGAGCAAACAAAGGTTACAGAAATGTTAATACCATGACTGAATGAAATGCATACCATCAAGGAGATGAACAGTATACCCTCTGGCAATAACGTGTGATAATCAGAGGAAGGGAAAATCACTTATTCAGCCTCATCCCCTCGGCAATACCACGTGTCTACAAACCAATCTTATTTCCTCATCGCAGCTTTTCCACAGGAGCCAAAATGAGGTCTTGTTTTCAATTTGCCATTTGCCATTTGGAAGGAGAAAAAAAAGAGGAGATAATGTGAGATAATATTCATGGATGCGGAGTTCTGGCACAACTGGATCTACTTCCAAGTTGTTTGGGGAAGGGAAAGTGAGGAAAGGTCGAAACACACGGAAAAAGTTTTAGCAAAAAGAACAACTTCATTATCAGAGCGACGGCTCCCCTAGGTCTGGCAAACACAGGGATTTATATACAAAAGCTCTACTTAAATTGTAATTTTATTTGGAAATTAAGGTTAAAAACTTTTTTCTTTCATCTATTTTGTCCCATTCCTTTTTCTTTTTTTCGAGAATAGTGGAGAGAAACATCCATAATACACAGAAAGCTGTGGGTTTATGCCAAATTCAACCAAAAGTTAGAATTTGATACACATAAATTGTTATAAAATGTGTAAAACAAAGAAAAATGTGTACTAATAGATGCATTCAAGTGTGGACTGTCATCAATTAAATTGTTTATTTGTAATAGTTTAAGCGTTAAAAACTTTTGCCGACCTTAATATGTCAACAAAATGAAACAAGAATGATGAAAGTGGCTTTATCTAACATTTACATTTCCAGTGAACATTCCCACATATCATGCACTAAAGAGAACTTGTACTTCAAAAGGAATCGTCTTCATTTTAAGTAATCAACAGGGCGATGTTTGATGGCGATATCAATTAAAATATTAAATAGATATCACCATCTGTTTACCCTTTTCACCCGTAGTGTCTCCCCTCCAGTTCAGCAGGCGTGTGACCTCATTAGTTTTCCGGATGTGAATCTAAAAATAGAAGAAATCCTATTTGCAAACATAATTACTCCATAGAGGCGTAAGTCTGAAATCCAAAATTGGTCTGAAATCCAGTTAAAAAACGGATCCTCCAGGGTCCAATGGACTTGTGTGTTCATCTCATAAAAGGACCCGTTTTATTCTCTTTGGAATCACCTACGATATAAGATTAGAAGCTATACAAACATTGTGTGAGTAAAAAAAGACACAAAGCTTTTCCTGGGCAACAGTTTGAAAGTGTGGAGGCCACACACACACACACACAGACAGACAGACAGACAGACAGACAGACAGACAGACAGACAGACAGACAGACAGACAGACAGACAGACAGACAGACAGACAGACAGACAGACAGACAGACAGACACACACACACACAAAGTCATCTCAGGGACGTTGACAGATCTGATGAATAAAAAGCCTTTTTTAAAGAGTGTTTTGTGTTGTGAGATAACACCTGGCTGTGTTTGAAAGATGAAGCGTTGTCCTTTGTAGTCAGGTTAACATCCTGGAACAATAATAGCAGTAGATAATTGTTGCTATGGTGTTACGCAATAACGCACACCAGATACACTTTTCCTAGTGACTTTATGAATCTAAAGATCAGGGCTGGACAGTAACGGTTGCCAGGTTGCCATTGGCAACCATTCCGAAAAAACGTCAACCACTTCTTGGCCTTTGGTTGCCATCAGTGGCAACCACTTTTTAACATGAAGAAATAAGGACAGCAAACAGCTAAATGTGTTCCCCAAAATAGATAAATGTTAATTAT